TTTTCAGAAAGCTAAATTATTCGTCTATTTTTACGCATTAAGAAACACTTTTACAGCAATCCACACCCCCTAGCTCCCCTTGGAAGGCCATGTCCGTTGATTGGAATAAGGTAAAGGCGACGATCGAGGAAGAGTGGGATGGTTCCATCATTTCCGCCCTCTCCGCGTATTTGGAGGTGCCCAATCAAAGTCCTGATTTCGATGCGGAGTGGGCCACCAACGGTCTTATGGAGAAGGCCTTTCGGATTATGATTGACTGGGTGGACAGCCAAAACCTCCACGGCCTCACTTACGAGTACGTCCAGGAAAAAGGCCGGACTCCGTTCCTGTTAATCGACATCGCTGGCACAGAGCCAACCAAGCACGCGGTGTTTTTGTACGGCCACATGGACAAGCAGCCCCCTCTGAGGCCGTGGGGGGAAGGACTTGACCCTACCAAACCGGTCGTACGTGACGGTAAGCTCTACGGTCGTGGAGCCAGCGACGATGGGTACGCAATTTTTTTGTCTATCTGCAGCATTGCCTCTCTTCAACGCAACGGCATACCACACGGCCGTATCCTCGTTGCGATTGAATCCGGTGAGGAGTCTGGGAGCCCTGATCTGGAGTACTATATGGACCGTTTTCGTGAAAAAATCGGGGTCATGGATCTCATGATCTGCCTTGACAGCGGTTGCATGAACTATGAGCAGGTGTGGCTCACTACCTCTCTGCGCGGTCTTGTAGACGGTGTGCTGCATGTAGAGACCCTTTCTGAGGCTGTGCACAGCGGTATCGCAGGTGGCGTTGTGCCCGATACCTTTCGAATTACCCGTGAGCTGGTGGACCGGCTTGAGGATTCCAAGACAGGCCAAGTGAAGCTCCCGGAGGCGCATTGCATCATCCCCGAGAATGTCGTCAGAGCTTTGGAGGTAATGAACGAGGTGCACTTTAAGGAGCAGTTTGCGACCCTTCCCGGGGTATCCTTAGGCCAGGTCGACAACAAAACGCTGGCCCTACGAAACTTCTGGGAGCCTAGCCTCACCGTTGTGGGGACTAACCTCCCGGACCCTCTGGTGGCTGGCAATGTGATTCGAACGGAGACCGCCGTGAAGCTATCGCTGCGTACGCCTCCAACTGTCGATTCGGAAGTAGTGTTAAATGCCATGCGCAGAGTCCTCGAGGATAGCCCGCCTTACAATGCTAGAGTTCGGTTTGAACCGGGGAACAATGGCAACGGGTCCTGCATGCCAGAGTTGAAGCCATGGCTGCATAAGGCGCTCGATGAGGGCAGCCTCTTGGCCTTTGGAAAGACATATGCGTGCCAAGGAATGGGTGGTTCCATCCCGTTTGTTGGGAGGCTTATCGAGACCTACAAGACGGCACAGTTTATCGTGACGGGGGTGCTTGGACCCCAGAGCAACGCTCATGGACCCAATGAGTTCCTCCATATCGCTTTTGTGAAGGGATTGACCTTTGTTATTGCGCGAGTTATCTCAGATCACTTTAAAAATGTTCCAAGAGGATGAATAGTGTCTTGATGTGGAGTCGAATAAAAATATCTGTTCAGACGTGAGAGAGTGAGGCTGTTATATAGGTTGAAGGTGTTTTCCTAGCCTTTAGGGACAGCCTCTCTAAAAGCATTTCATGCATAAGCCAAATTTATTTTTATATTAATGGGCTCGAATACCATTTTGATGAAATATGGAGGATTGTTTGAATTAGGGCAATTCTTTAGGAGCTTCAAATGACACACTCAGAGTTTAGATAAAGTTTGCTTCAAATCATTCCACCTTTCTGTCTTCAGATTTTATTGTGATTAGCGCTATGAATGCGTCCTTAGGTTGACGATTATGCTTATTTCAATAGTGCTGTTTTCTGATTGAGCATACTTTCCCTATTACAGTATCTAGTCTTGGAGGAAATATTTACCGAAAAAATTCCTACCTCTGTCTTCAGCAGATACTGTAAAAGAAAGCTCAGAATTCCCTCCCCCCCTCCCCCTTCCTATTCGAGCGACGATCTTATATAGATCATCTTTTAAAAAACATCTTTATCGTAAACTGCTTAACCATTAGCATAGTATGCTATTGTGCCTCTATTAACGTGATGGAAGGAAGGTACCTTAATCAAGAAATTATACAATAGGTGTGGGTCTTCTCTCACATAGCTTTGCTCCTAACTTCTTATTCCTTCAATGCTATAACCGAGTCCCAGAGAATATATTCCGAAGAAAATAATTGTATCAAAATGGTTTACTTTCAGGTTAATCATCACTTCTTGAGAAAAGCGAAATGGGTCCTCGTTTTTGGGAATCGCCCTAGTAGACAGTTTCTATTTCTATGCATTTATAAAGCGGTAGAAGAAATTTAATGTAGCAATCGGCGGAAGTAATATAAGAGGAGTCAAAAGAGGGAAGGATGATAACGTTCAGCATTTCTGAGGAAGAACTCGGAAATTTTCTCCAGATAAGAGTGTGGCTTAAGGTTGTCCGAATGGAATGAGATATATAGGATGTCTGAGGAGGTGATAGTAGTCCACCCTATTCACAAGATTTATATATTGTAGAATAGCGTTTTATATATAATGAAATTAGCAGCATACTAAGAAGCGGTCAGTAGTGGGTAAGCTTACCCATTCTTTATATTAGAATCATTCGTTAGTGATTTGAAAAGAATAAAAAAATCTCTACAAACTAATCAAAATATCAATACAAGCTACTTTATTAATAAATTATTCCATGCTACTTCAAGAAATATAATTCTTTTTTTTTTTTGATTATATAATAGTATGAAAATAGAGTAATATGA